TAAGGACACAGTTACTTGTCAGTTTTTTACAGTGTATTTCAAAAGAATAAGGAAGTTAGCTTCTTAATGAAAGTCTGTATGCATCATAGTTTGAGCATTTTATTCATACTATAATTTTTGAGATATTAAATATTTGGTCCCAATAAAATAAGTCCCATAACCTGGTAGGTACAGTCAGGGAAATTTTTTTTTACACCCCTGCTGATTTTGTAAGTTTGCCTAATAACAAAGAAATGACCAGTCTATAATGAGAGACAGAACAATAATTTAAAAATGCATTTCAAAAAAGTTATAAATTAATTCGCATTTGAATGAATGAAATAAGTATTTGATCCCCTATCAATCAGCAAGATTTCTGGCTCCCAGGTGTATTACCTGTATAAAAGACACCTGTCCATAGAAGCAATCAATCTAACCAGATTCCAAACTCTGCACCATGGCCAAGACCAAAGAGCTTTCCAAGGATGTCAAAGACAAGATTGTAGACCTACACAAGGCTGGAATGGGCTACAAGACCATTGCCAAGCAGGTGGGTCAGAAGGTGACAACAGTTGGTGCGATTATTCGCAAATGGAAGAACCATAAAATAACTGCCAATCTCCCTTGGTCTGGAGCTCCACGCAAGATCTCACCTCATGGAGTTTCAGTGATAATGAGAACGGTGTGGAACCAGCCCAGAACTACTTGGAAGGAACTTTTCAATGATCTCAAGGCAGCTGGGACCAAAGTCACCAAGAGAACAGTTGGTAACACACTATGCCGTGAAGGACTGAGATCCTGCAGTGCCCACCAGGTCCCCCTGCTTGAGAAAGCACATGAACAGGCCTGTTTGAAGTTTGCCACTAAACATCTAAATGATTCAGAGGAGGACTGAGTGAAAGTGTTGGTCAGATGTGACCAAAGTCGAGCTCTTTGCCATCAACTCAACTCGCCGTGTTTGGAGGAGGAGGAATACTGCCTATGACTCCAAGACGACCGTCATCACCGTCAAACATGGAGGTGGAAACATTATGCTTTTGGGATGTTTTCTGCCAAGGGGACAGGACAACTGCACTGCATCAAAGGGAGGATGGATGGGGCCATGTACCGTAAAATCTTGGGTGAGAACCTCCTGCCCTCAGCCAGGACATTGAAAATGGGTGGTGGGTGGATATTCCAGCATGACAATGATCCAAAACACATGGCCAAGGCAACAAAGGATTGGCTCAAGAAGAAGCATATTAAGGTCTTGGAGTGGCCTAGTCAGTCTCCAGACCTTAATCCCATAGAAAATCTGTGGAGGGAGCTGAAGGTTCGAGTTGCCAAACATCAGCCATGAAACTTTAATGACTTGGAGAGGATCTGCAAGGAGGAGTGGGACAAAATCCCCTCTGAGATGTGTGCAAAACTTGTGGCCAACTACAAGACACGTCTGACCTCTGTGATTGCCAACAAAGATTTTGCCATGAAGTACTAAAGCACGTTTTGCAAAGGGATCAAATACTTATTTCATTCATGAAAATGCAAATTAATTTATAACTTTTTTTAAATGCATTTTTCTGGATTTTTTGTTATTGTTCTGTCTCTGTTCAAATAAACCTACCATTGAAATTATAGACTGATCATTTCTTTGTTAGTGGGCAAACTTACAAAATCAGCAGGGGTTCAAATAATTTTTTCCCTGACTATAGTAAACAAAATTACGTGTTGGCCACATTACTTGTTTGATGAAAAAAACATATAAAATGTATCAACTAACACACTTTTGCAGGGATCACATGGCAATCAGGCATCGTCACCTGCTGATCACAATGAACCAGACACAAAGGAGGTATTACTGGGGGAGAAGAACACAGAAGTCTGAAGGATCTATAGTGTTTAATTTTATGTGTTTTGCCTGCAGTCCCAAGTTTACCAGGTCCTGTTGGATCAACAAGCTACTCGTGTTAGCAGTCATCAGATAATTGATGATCTTTTATTGTTAACCATCTGAAGACTTGGGGGACTTTGCTGGGTACCAGATAAACATTTCTAAGACAAACTGCACATGCATATAAGCAGATGTTAATCTAAAGAGCAGCACCCTGAGAAGGACCATTGTGCTGTATCTATAGTCAGTCACCTGTGAAGATCAATACAGGGTCCTCCTTCATGTCAACCAATTTCTTCCAAACTGAACTTTGTATATTATGTTGTTGTTACATGGAACTTTTCAACATTTTATGTGTCTCAGAATATCTGCTTAACAAAAAAGCTTGATGACTTCACGTGAAGAGACACTGTTTAGTGAAACAATGTATTTGGAAAGTTACAAGTCATAAGCAAACTGGTTTCAGGACAGAAACCTTCCTGCGTAAATATTTGTACATTATATGATTATCTTACCTTTGCAGTGTTGTTTGCAGTGTTGAAATGTACAGTGTCATTACCAACATTCTGAATAAATCCGAGCTGTCTTCAGCTCCATCATGTTAATTTTGACATGTTATGTTTAAGCTTGACTGCCTGTCACTGTAATTACCCCAGTGAGCTTTGGAATGCCCACTGGGCATTTTTCCTGAATTGAAGAAAAATAAAACTTGACACTAAGGTACCAGCAAAGTGACTGGATGTTTATCACCTGACTTTGCCTTGTGTAACCATAGAAATGGCAGCCTGTCATTCTCTAGGGGTGTAATGATTCTCCAAATCCACAGTTTGGGTCAGATTGGGTTCGGATTATGTGATTTTGTGAGTTTTTTTTTTATATATATTTTTATGTT